GGTATTTTATTTGTCGTCGAAAATCCCCCTGTATGGGGGACACGCCCGACATAAACTTATGCTCCTGAACAGACTGAGGGCCCCTTCTGCTTGTGGCGTTGGGCTGCCTGGGCAATCGATGCCTCTAGCCCTCCTGGGGCGCACTACAGCGAAAGCCCGTGCCAGGAAACATCCTGCCTGCCTCCAGGGTGCCCTGGGCTTCTTTGGGTTTCGATGAGTCTGCGAGGGGGAGCGCGACGTTCCCGCGCCCAGGCTGAATGGACGTCCTCGGGTCTCAGTGTTGGGTTTCTTGTGGAAGGTTTCTTGTGGACTGGCCTCCACTGTATGACAAGGATTCATTCGGATGCAACTCCTGGGAGGTCAAAGTCTGATTTAGCCCTGGTCCGAAATCCCGCTTAATCCGGCTTACTCCCGCTTACTCCCGCTGCATCCGGCTTAATCTTGCTTAATCCCGCTCAATCTGGCTTAATCCCGCTTGATCCGAGGCCAACTCTGGCTCAACAGCCCCCCCAATGGGGCTTAATCCTCCTTAATCCTTCTGACGAAAACCTCCCAGTAGTTGCCTCCTAAGATTCTTGGGCGTAGCCAGCCGTCGGGACGAGTCCGCTCACTCCCCCCCCTTGTAGGGGAGCCCCGAGCGCGCAGGCCGCGCCCAGCTCCTCCTTTCCTTTCGTTTCCTCCCTTCTTCCTCCGCCCCCCTCCTCCTCCTCCTCCTCCTCCTCCTCCTCCTCCTCCTCCCTCTCCTCCTCCTCCTCCTCCTCCTCCCCCTCCTCCTCCTCCCCCCTTTCCGCCTCCCCTTCCTCCTCCTCCTCCTCCTCCCTTTTCCTCCCCCTCCTCCTTCCCCTGCTTGGCTACGGCTTCACACACCCTCGGCTGGCCTCTGCGCCGAGAGGGGGCTGCCGCAGGAGATTGTGCGGGCGGTCGACGCCGACATCTGCTCGGCCCTGGGGCACGCCGCCCGCTTCGGGAGGCGCCAGGGTGGCGCGGGGGAGGAACAGATGGGGGGAGGGTGGAAGTGAGAAAGGAAGGACGGACGGATGTTGGGGGGGGGGACGAGGACGGGAAGGAGGAGGCCGAGGAGGAGGAGGAAGAGGTAGAGGACGAGGAAGTGTATTAGGAAGAGAAGGAGGAGGGAGGAGGGAGGAGGGAGGAGGGAGGAGGAGGAGGCGGAGGAGGAGGAGCAGGAGGATGAGGAGACGGGAGGAGGAGGATGAGGAGTAGGTGGAGGAGTAGGCTGAGGAGGAGGAGGGGGGGAGGGGGAGGGATACTGCTGATGATGATGATGCTGATGATGCTAAAGGTGCTGAGGATGATAATGCCAATGACGCTGATGCTGATGCGGCTGATGCTGATGATGCTGCTGATGCTCATGATGATGCGGCTGATAATGTTGATGATGCTGCTGATGGTGACGATGACGATGCTGGTGATGATGATGATTATGATGATGATGCTGATGCCACTGATACTGCTGATGATGCTGGTGATGATGCTGATCATGATACCGCTGACGTTGCCGATGCGGGTAGTGATGGTGCTGATGATGCTGCTGATGAGGCCGATGTTGATGATGCTGCTGCTGATGATGATGCGGCTGCTGATGCTGCTGATGCTGATGCTGTTGATGATGATGTTGATGATGATGCTGGTGATGACGCTGCTGCTGCTATTGCTGATTGTGGTGTTGATGATGCTGATTATGATTATGATGCTGACGATTATGGTGCTCATGATGATGATGCTAATGCTGCTGCGGATGATGCTGCTGCTGATGATGATGATGATGGCGACGATGCTGATCTGATGATGATGCTGATGATGATGCTGATGATGCTGATGATGATGATGATGTTGATGCTGATGCAGGTGCTGATGATGAGGGTCATGCTGATACTGATTATGATGATGACAATGATGATGATGTTGCTGATGATGATGATGCTGCTGATGCCGATGCTGATACTGATGATGATGGTGAAGATGATGCTGATGCTGCTGATGCGGATGATGCTGATGATGATGAGGATGCTGATGCTGATGATGCTGAAGCTGATGATGATGATGCTGATGATGATGATGATGCTGATGTTAATGATGATGCTGCGGATGGTGATGATGACGATGATGATGATGATGATGATGATGATGATGATGATGATGATGATGATGATGATGATGATGATGCCAACGACGATGCTGCTGCTGCTGATCATGATGATGATGCTGATGCTGATTATGCTGATGATGATTATTATAATGATGATGATGATGATGCTGATGATGCTGATGACGATGATGATGATGATGATGATGATGATGATGATGATGATGGTGCTGCTGCTGCTGATGATGATGATGATGATGCTGATGCTGCTGATGATGATGATGATGACGATGATGATGATGATGATGATGATGATGATGATGTTGATTTTTAATGTTCATAAGGAGGAAGGGGAGGAGAGGAGACGGAGGCGGAGGAGGGATGGGGGGAGGCGAAGGGGCGGAGCACGGTGGGGGATGGTCTTGAGGGCGATGAGGGCGGGCGGGCTGGGCTGCCGGACGGCGAGGTGCGACATCACCGAGGGCCTCTTCTCTCCAGGCCGAGGGGTGCCAACTGCACACCTGCATCGGGCCCGGCCTGGCACGACCTGGGCCCAGGATCTCGATCCTCGTCGCTCGACCGAAGGGGGCACAGATATCTCGATCCTCGAAGTTCGCTCGATCTTCGATTTTTGATCTTCGATTGTCGATGGTCGATCGATCTTCGATCTTCGATTTTGATCCTCGATCGTCGATGGTCGGTTTTCGATCGTCGGTTTTCGATGGTCGAAAACAGGAGGAATGCCTCTCTACAGGAGGAATGTTCAAACATAGTCAAGCAGTAGTCTGGGCACGATTTTTCGATTTTTGATTGTTTTAAATATTTGTGGACCCTTTGTTACATCTCCTGCAGGAGGGCGTGCCCGACCCAAGCCCTGTGCATGGTTGCGCCCCCCCCCCCCCCCTTCTCTGCCAGGGTGCAACGCCGAACTGGCGGCGGCGGCCGGCTCGTTCGACCTCTTCGTCGCCGCGTACGTCGTCGCGGAGAACGCCCGGGGGCTGGAGGCCACGGGCTGCGCCTTCTTCTGCGAGCTCTTCGCGTCGGCGCGGCCCGGCGCGGCCTTCCTCTTCTTGGACGCCACGCACCGCCAGTGGCCGCGCCTGGTCGCGCTCGCGCAGGGCCTCGGCGACTTCGAGGCCCCGGGCGGATTCTGCGATTCCTCTCCGTTCTGTGAGTCTTCTGGGGTCCCGTCGTCCACCGCCAGAAGGTGCCCACAGCCACCGCTTCGGAGTCGTGCCCTGGGATCTCGAGGAGCGGTGGATGTGGGTATCTCCCGCCCGCTTTCCCAGACCTCCGACGTCGTTTTTTTTATTTTTATTTTTTTGTTTTGTTTTGTTTGTTCTCTCTCTCTCTCTCTGTCTCTTTTTTCTTATACATATATATATAGAATATACAAAGTCGACCCCCAGAGGTCTGGACCCCTTCCCCAGGACCAGGTTCTCATTCCGAGTCGTTTTCTGACGGTCCAGAGGCCCGGGGAGGGCCCCCGGAGGCCGGAAAATAGCGAGGACCTTCCCGTCGTGAGTCTTTCCCTGGCGCGAGGAGGTCTGGGCTGGCGGGCAGATATCCACATCCGCCTCTCCCGGGGTCCCCGAGTCCTCGGATATCAGGGGCAACGGTAGGAGGGGATAGGCTTAAGTTGGGAGTGCCCCTCTGCAGGAGGAATAGTCAAAGATAGTCCAGACATAGTCAGGGACGTTTTTTTTGTATTTTTTTGTTTGTTTGTTTGTGTGTTTGTTTGTTTGTTTGTTTGTTTGTTTGTTTGTTTGTTTGTTTGTGTGTGTGTGAATATTTTTCCCCAACCCTCCTGCGTTGGGTACTCGTTTTGAATAGAGCACTGCGGTCTCCACCTTCCTTCCTTCCCGCCTCCTCCTCCTCTCTTCCCTCTTCCTCTCCTCTCTTGCTTCCCTTCTCCGCCTCTCTTCGCTCCTCCTCTTCTCGCTTGCCTTTTACCTACACCGCACTCACATCTATACCCCTGGGTGGGTGTATGTGCGGCCGTTTTTGCGCTGTCATGTGCGCGCATGTGCGCGGCATGTGCCAGTCATGTGCCAGGCCTGTGCGGCCCTTCTTGGATGGACTTCCTACTGTGCACGTCGTGCCCGGGCATGTGCGGGGGCATGTGCGCTGTGTTTTGATGTATCCATCATACGCACATGCACGCACAGTCCGACGCACATGCGCGCACATGCCTGCACATGCGGGAGGTGTTCGAGAATCGCAGATCTGTCATCGGCACATGCACGCACATGCCTGTGCAACCTCTCTTCGGGAGGCCGCGCGGGCCCGCACATGCACGCACATGCGGTGAAGCGCGCGGGCGCACATGCGTGCACATCCCAATGCACATGCACGCTCATGCCCTAGGAACTGTCTGGGACCCCTGTGCCTCCAATGCCTCCTGGCCTTCGCAGAGCTAACCTGGGGCGTGCCAGGGCTTCCTGAAAGAGTTTGTTGTGCGTTTAGACTCGCCCGCTGCTGGCGGGGGCGGTTCTTCGCCCGGTTCGTGAGCTGGCGGTGGCGTGCCCTCCTAGTAAAACACTCTCCCGCGCGCCTTCTCAGCTCGGCCGGAGAAGCAGGGGTGGGGGGGGGGAGGTGGAGGGGGGGGGGGGAAGGAGGGGGAGCCGAGGAGGCGGACGCCCCCTTCTCGTCCGCCCCCCTGGGGGGGCTGCGATCTGTGAAACTGTCGCCACTTTCGAGGGCTGCTGGGGGGCCCAGCGGTGACGCCCTACGGGGATTCAGATTAGACCTCGCCATCCCTGGGGGGCTGCGATCTGTGAAACTGTCGCCACTTTCGAGGGCTGCTGGGGGGCCCACGGAGTGACGGCCCACGGGGACTCAGATTAGACCTCGCCGTCCCTGGGGGGCTGCGATCTGTGAAACTGTCGCCACTTGCGAGGGGCTGGGGGGCCCAGCGGAGTGACGCCCTACGGGATTCAGATGACCTCGCCATTCTGGGGGGCTGCGATCTGTCGCCACTTTCGAGGGCTGCTGGGGGGCCCAGCGGAGTGACGCCCTACGGGGATTCAGATTAGACCTCGCCATCCCTGGGGGGCTGCGATCTGTGAAACTGTCGCCGCTTTCGAGGGCTGCTGTGGGGCCCACGAAACTGTCGCCACTTTCGAAACCTGCTGCGGGGTCCAGCACAGTGACGTCCTACGCGGACGCAGATTGGACCCGTCATTCTACTTCGATTATCCCGCATCTGCGATCGACTGTATGTGTGCGAGGAACTAGACATGGAGTGGTCTGGCACTGACTGACGTCAAATCGTTGTGTGCCAGTGTCTCCTGGGTGTTGCCTGATGTGGATGCAGCTCGTCGGCGCTGCGACTCGAGCTGGCGGTCGTCCTTCGGACCCGCAGAAACATCTGCTGAGCTCGATGAGCTAGGGGAACTACAGGAAAGAAGTGCAGGAAACGGAGGCCGGTCATGCACTCGCCGATACCTCGTTGCTCTGTCATCGTCTTTGCTGTTGCATGATCCTTATCTGGCCTGCCGGCGCCGCGGCTCGAGCTGGCGGTCGCCCTTCGGGCCCGCGGGAACATCTTCTGAGACAAGTGGACGCCGCCGCCTTACTTGCAGGCAGCGCATTGCATTCGCGGACAGCAGCATGGCAGACCGCAGTGAGATCCTCAGTCGCGTGGTGTTGCCAAGCCTGGTGGAGACGCGCGTGATCGACCTGAAGTCCCAATCGCGCGTGCACTGTACCTGCGTGGCGTTCAGGCACGCGCGTGATGCTGCTCGCTCCGCGTTCAACCAGTACGTCGCCAGTGCAACTTTGGACGATGGACAACCGATTGATGATGCGCGACCCCGGCCTTGAGTTTCTTTCCCGCGGGCCGCCCGCAGACCTGGCGGCGCGCCTGCGAGCGTTCAGCTCCCGCGCTGAAATGTGCGGGAAGGATGCGGAGAAGCTAGCGGGCGAGCTACGCCTCGCTCGTTCCTTGCACTCCAAACAAGTTTTATCATATGGAACTCTGCGACGACATGGCGCAGGCAACGCTGCGGGCTTAGCTCGCACTTGAAAAATGCGGCAGTCTTCTGTCTCCTCCCGCCACTGTCATCGTCGTCCTATTCCCCGCCTCACCTTCTCCATGCATGCTGCTGCTTCCGCGATGGCCTTTCGCCCCCCCCGCCCTCCATTCCATCCCTCTCCTACCCCTCGTTCCCGTACCCGTTCTTCTTCGATCCTGGGGCCTCAAGCCTCGTTCTTTCGATCGTCGTCCTGTGAATCGTGCAACGCATGCGCATCCCATGTAGCTTGCACAGCAAATCGCCGCGTCTACACTGTCGTTGTTCCTGCTAATGTTGGCATAGTCCTCTTGCCATTTGATGCACGTGGGTTGGGTACGCCGCAGGGTAATGATTTTTCGTTCGAAATCCTCCTGTATGGGGGACATGCCCGACCTCAGGGTAGGCATAGGGTGGGGTGCATCGACCCCCAATCGCCAATTGATCGCCGATGGGGGCCCGATCGCCCCAACCTGCCCAGGACCGTGCGCATTCATTATCGGGGGCCTATCGCCTTTAGGTCGGGCCTGTCCCCTTTCAGGGGGATTGTGGGCGACAAACTAGAAGTGCTAGAGAAATGCCCCCCTCCCAGAAATGCTGAACAATGGTCAGACAATCGTCCCCGGACTATTTTCTGACTATCTTGGAATCTCCCTCCTGTAGAGGGACAGGCCCGGCTCATCATCCTTATCGTTTGCCCCTCAGGAACTGGTCATACTCTGGCGGCCGCGCCGCAAATCCCAGGAGGTGCGGGGGGGGGTCGATCTCGAGGGAGGGGCCCAGGCCTACAAGGATACGCGGGCCAGGAGGGGGAGGAGGAGGAGGAGGAGGAGTAGGAAGAGGAGGAGGAGGAGGAGGAGGAGGAGGAGAGGAGGAGGGGAGGAGGAGGATGGAGGGGAGGAGGAGGGAGGCGGAGGAGGATGAGGAGAGAGGAGGAGGAGGATGAGGAGGAGGAGGAGGAGGAGGAAGGAGGAGGAGAGGAGGAGGAGATGAGGAAGGAGGAGGAGGAGGATGGGGAGCCGAAGGCCAGACGTGCCTCCCTGTACGCGCTCCTCGGGGTCCTCTTCGGAGTTATTCCGGAGCGGGATTCCTCTTGGCTGTTTTGCGGTCCCAGGGCCTCATGGGGCGTCTTGGCTGCCTTTGGGGAGCCTCTTGGGACTCCTCGGGGTCTCTTTGGAGCCTCTTGGGGGCATCTTGAAGGCCTCTTGGGGGCCTTTTGGGGCCTCCTGGGCACCTCTCGGAGGCGTCTTCGGGGCACTTTTGGGAGCTTCGGAGGGTATCTTGGGGCCATCTTGGAGGAGATCGACCAAAGGAGGGGCCGTAGTACATAAGGCTTTCCCCTCCCCACCCCGGAGGCTAGCACCAGTGATTTTGGTCTTCTCGCCGAGGCCCCTTGGGGCGTCTTGGCTGCCTCTGGGGGCTCTTGGGGCCTCTTGGGGTGAGCCTCTTGGGGGCATCTTGGGGGCCTCTTGGGGCTCCTAGGCACCCCTTACCCTTGGAGCTGTCTTGCGGCGGAGCCGCGTGGGCCATATTGGGGCCATCTCGGAGGAGATCGATCAACGGAGGGGGGGCTCCTTAATAAGGGGTGCCTCGCCAGGAGGCCAACCCTTGGCCAAAACCATAGTACATTCAGTGATTTTGGCCTTCTCGCCGAGGCCTCTTGGGGCGTCTTGGCTGCCTCTGGAGGAGTGGCCTCTTGGGGGTCTCTTGGGAGCCTCTTGGGGACATCTTGGCGGTATCTTGGAGGCCTCTGGGCGCCTCCTGGGTGCATCGTGGGCACTCTTGGGAGCTTCGGGGGCCATCTTGGGTCCATCTCGGAGGAGATCGATCCAAGGACGGAGCGTCCCACATTAGCTTGCCCCCACGAGGCCCAAATGTGGCCAAAACCTGAGTACAACCAATGAGTTTGGATTCCTCGCCGAGGCCATCTTGGACGCTCTAACTACCCGTGACCCCTCCCCCTCCAGTTCCAGGGGAGGGGGTAGGGGGAGGGGTCAAGACACCCCCCCCGCCCGAAAGCCGTCTCGCTCACTCCCACCCGCCCTCCCAACACATACGTAGCACCCGAGCCCGGCCCGAGCCTCAGCATATTCAGCAGTCGTCTTTGGATGGGTAGCTACTGGGGGCCAATCCGCTGCCGCCACCGCCGCCTCCGCCGCCGCCGCCGCCGCCGCCGCTGCCGCCGCCGCCGCCGCCGCCGCCGCCGCCCGCCGCCGCCGCCAGCCACCGCCCGCCACCGCCGTCGCCGCCGCTGCCGCCGCCGCCGCCGCCGCCGCCGCCGCCGCCCCGCCGCCGCAGCCGCCGCAGCCGCCGCCGCCGCCGCAGCCGCCGCCGCCTCCGCCAAGTGTACTCTGTATTTTTTTTGGGCAGGGATGGTGGGGGGGGGCGCATCGGGTTGGCTGCGCATGTTCCAAATTTGGAGGCAGAGTGTGTTTTGTATTGTGTTTTTACAAGGGATTGTGGGGGGGGGGGTGTTGGCATGGACCTGGGTTGGCCCCAGTCGCCTGGGGGAGGGGGTGTTTATTAATAGGGAACAGTGATCAAGAAACCTTCCTATATAGCAAGACGTCTAGCTCACTCCCACCCGCCCTCCCGACACATCAGTAACACCCGAGCCTCACCATGTTCAGCGGTCGTCTTTGGATGGGCAGCTACTGGGAACCGAAACCGACCCCCTGTGCACGACGCTGGGGCGAGGTGCGCCACGTGTGCCAGGCGCGCCACGCTCGCCAGGCACCCCTGGGGCCCAAGCGTGCCAGGCACGCCTGGTGCGCCAGATGCGCTACGTGCTCCACGTGCGTCAGGTGTGCCGCATGCGCTAGCCGCGCCAGGTGCACCACGCTTGGGGCACGTGCAGAGTGTGTCAGGTGCGCCTGCGCACGTGACAGCACGTATCGGGAAGCTTGTCCCTCCCCACCATCCCCGTCGAAAACCAATGCCCATCGTGGTGTCTGGTTGGCCTGCGCGCAGCAGGCCATGCGCCACCACCCCCGCCGTTCTTGTCACAAACCACTTGACAGTGATCGCGGGGTGGCCCCGCATGATCCAGACTTAGCCGCGAGGTGCATTTTATATGTTCTTTGATCTGCATGGTGGCCCTTCGCACAGCAGGCAATGTGCTGACACCCCTGCCGTCCCTAGTAACGAACAATATAAAGTGCCCGCGGGCCTCACGAATATGACTCAAGACTTTGCCCCAACGTGCAGTTTGTTTTGTTTTTTGACAGGGATGGCGGGGGGGACCCACATCGGGTTTGTTGCGCACGCTCCGAATTTGGAGGCAGAGTGTGTCCTGTATTGTTTTTTGACAGGGGTGGTTGGGGGATGGGGAGCATAGAGCCGGTATTGTTCCTGGTTGGCTGCCAGTCGCCGGGGGGGCGGGTTATAAATAGGGAACAGCGATCAACCCTTCTCCGAATGTGAAGAGGGGGGTTGGAAGAGGAACCTCTCTTAACCACTCACGCCCTAATGGGCTGGCGGGATCCCACCAGCCTTTCGGGGCGTAGATGGTTTAGCGCGTTTCCTCTTCCACCCCCCCTCATCTTCCTCGGGGAGGGGTCATCTCTGCCTTTTCCTTTCTCTATTCGTGAGCACCCACCGCCCTCATACGGTGGAATCGGGCCTGTCCCCCTACAGGGGGTTTTCGACGAGAAATAGAAAATACCCTCACAAACCCTCCAAAAAGGTCAACAAATACACCCAAAATAGTCCCCAGACTATTTTTGTATTATTTTTGGATTATGTTTGGGGTATCTTTTATTTTTCGTTGAAAATCCTCCTGTAGGGGGACAGGCCCGACCTAGAATTAGCGGTGTTTGCGTGCCAAACCGTGCTCATGTGCGGAGCTGGGTCCCTTGGCGCGAACGGCGGAACGACCTGTGCGGCGGGACGCTCTGGCAACACGGCTGCCGCCGCAAAAACAGTCGGTTCCAGTGTCCGCGGGGAAGGGGAGACGTCGTACCCATCGGTCGTTGAAAGCACTCCGAGTTTCTCAATGAGCGTCGGGGGGGCGTCACCCCCGCCGACAGCCCCACACCCCACATCGACCCCCGTCGCGGGCAGCCACCGCGCGCCGAAGGCGCTCCGACCCCCGTCGCGGCGCGACGACGAGGCGACGTTGACGCCCGTCGGGGGGGTACCCCCCAATCTTATTCAGAAGCCCAGAGTAGGTATTCTAATCGCTAGCGCTTCCCTGCTTCAAGAGCCGATCTGGTTTGGCGGTTGTGTGTTGTTCAGTGGGCGGGCCCGAGCCCAATCTATTTTATCCGCCTTCCTTCTTCATGTTTCTACTTACTTCTTCCGACCAGCGTGTGAAGATAAACTTTTGGCGCTCCGCACGGATTTCTCGGATCCGCGCTGGGGCCCCCCGTGGCGGCGCCTCTGGCGCCACCCGTGGCGCGCTCCGCGCGCCAGGGAGGGGGGCCCAGCGCGAAACCAAGAAATCCGTGCGGAGCGCCAACAGTTTATGTTTATGGCATTTTTTCCCTCTGTCTTTCCCATTGCGTGCAAGGGTTTGGGTGCCCTGGTACGCACGTTTTTGAAACGCAATGCAATCAACCCGCATAGCAGGGATGGACAACCTTCCGAAGGGTACCCTTGCATCCTCGCCTCCCCGGTCCATCCTTGGTTCCTTGGCAACTTTCGCTGGCAGTGCCCCGCTCGCAAACCCTCGAAGTGGCCTTCCCAGGCCCTTGCATCCTTATCGCGCATCCGTATGATACGTGCCGACTGTGCGTACCGTGCTCAACACGTCCGTGTCAATGTGCTGCGTGTTGGCTCAGCGTGCTGGCTCACGCTTTGGCGAAGGTATCACGCCCAACGTACGTGTTCAGTTTCCGTGTTAAGCCCAGTGTAGATACGCTATGTGTTGCGTGTCGTGTATCGGGGCAGCTAAGGTCCCATCGCGTGCAAGGGTTGTCGATCCGCGCACGAAAGGTCGGGCAACGAACTCCGTACACCTCCACTGCCCCCTGGCCGGGCTTCTCCTGGGCCCAGGAGCTGTGTTTATGCCCTTCCTGGCCAAGCCAGGGGGGCGTGGCGTAACTACGCCGCCGCCGGGTTCAGCATGGGCCTGGCCAGGGAACAGTGCCGATGTGTAGATTGCGCCGTCCGAAACATTCACTCTTGCCTGGGGTCACTCCTGCGTTTCGCTGAGAGGCCGCCCGCCTTTTCTGGCCCCCTCCCCCCCTGTCGGCCATGCGCACAGGGGGGCCCTGGGAGGGGGGGAGGTTTCTTAGAGCACCCCTGCTTCTTAGTCGGCGCGGGCCTTGCCTGTTGATGTAGGGCCGGCGCCTTCTCAGAAGCAGCCTCCTTCTAAGACGCCTTCCCCCCCTCCCCCTGCCCCCCCTTTGTAGGCGCCAACAAAGGTCACTCTTGCCCAGAGTCGCTCTTGCGTTTCGCCGACAAGGCCCGCCTTCTCTGGCTCCTCCGCCGCGGCCTGCCGCGCCGACGGGCACGACGACGCCAACGCCGACGCCGACGCCGACGCCGACGCCGACGCTGACGACGATGCCGCCGCCGACGACGACGATGCCGCCGCGGACGACGACGTTGATGCCGCCACCGACGACGACGACGAGGACGACGACGACGACGCCGACGACGACGATGACGTCGCCGATGCCGACGCCGCCGCCGCCGCCTTCGAGGTGAGCCTGCCGCGGGCCGAGCCGGGCCAGGGCCGCGGGTTCCCGAGGCACGCGCTGCTCCTCCGCAAGGGGCGCGCCCCTGGCCGCCAGCCGCGGCGCGGCGGGGGCGCGCCGCAGGCGCCGCGCCAAGCCGGGCCTTGGGAGGAGGAGGAGGAGGAGGAGGAGGAGGAGGAGGAGGAGGAGGAGGAGGAGGAGGAGGAGGAGGGGGAGGGTAGGAGGACGGAGGAGGAGGAGAGAGGAGGAGGAGGAGGAGGAGGAGGAGGAGGAGGAGGAGGAGGAGGAGGAGGAGGAGGAGGAGAAGAAGGGGAGGAGGAGGAGGAGGAGAGGAGGAGGAGGAGGAGGAGAGGAGAGAGAGGAAGGGGAGAGGAGGAGGGAGGAGGAGGAGGAGATGAGGAGGAGGAGGAGGAGGAAGAGGAGGAGGAGGAGGAGGAGAGGATGAAGGAGGAGAGGAGGAGGAGGAGGAGGGACGGCGGCGGAGGCGGAGGCGGAGGCGGAGGGGGAGGAGGAGGAGGAGGAGGAGGAGGGGGAGGAGGAGGAGGAGGAGGAGGAAGGAGAAGGAATGTGGGGGCGGAGGAGGAGGAGGAGGCGCAGGACGGAGGAGGAGAGGAGGAGGAGGAGGAGGAGGAGGAGGAGGCGGAGGCGGAGGCGGAGGCGGACGCGGAGGCGGAGGCGGAGGAGGAGGAGGACGAGGAGGAGGAGGAGGAGGAGGAGGAGGAGGGCTGCGCTTTCAGGGAAGTGGCGCAGCAGTCTGTGGCCATTTTGGCTCAAGGCCTAAGCGTTTCGCCCAGAACTTATCATTTTGACCTGGGGGATTCCGCGACCCCTATCGCTTTCCAGGCGTTCGCCCGCCCAGTACATACCCTCAGCTACTTTCCGTGTATTGCACCGCCCTTTCACGGAAGCTACCTCCCAGCTTTGCCGATGGTTCCTTTTCTTCATTTGTTCTCTTATGCTCCGTTGGGCAGCTCGGTGTCAGAGACCATGTGATTTGGACAATGCACCGCTTGTATCGCGATCAAGAAGGGCAAATCTTGGGCGATTGGGCCAAGAGCCAAACTTTTCCCATCAATGCAGGCGTTCGCCAAGGGTGCGTACTCAGCCCTGTACTTTTCGCAGCTGTTCTGGAGTGGGCCATGCGCGCTTGGAGAGCTCGCGTCGCAGACCTGGGATTTGATTTTGCAGACGGTTTACGGCCGCTCATAGATTTACGTTTCGCCGACGATATTCTATTGTTCGCCAAGACAGCGGGCGAAGCCAAACTGCTGCTGGACACACCGGTAGAGGAGTTGGCAAAAGTTGGGTTGATTCCGAATGCGGCCAAGACGGTGGTAATGACAACAGAGGCGCAACCTCCGCGGCAAATCACCACGCGGGCCGGCGCGGAGATTCAAGTGTTGCCCCAGAGTGCCGCCCACAAGTGGTTGGGATGTTTGCTGGCAGTCGGTGGTTCTGGAACGCACCATCTGGACGTGGAGTATCATCTGGCATCCGCGAACAAAGTTTTCTTTGCAAACAGGGCCATATTATGCGACCGGAATGTTTCTCTTACTGCCCGCTTCGAGTTTTTTCGGCCGCGTCGTAATGTCTGTGGCGTGCTTCGGGGCTTGTGTATGGAATCCGTACAGGGACTCACTGCATAAAGTTGACGTGGGATTTAGGCGATTGTTGCGGCAAGTTGTTGGTCCGCCTGCCGGCGTGGACTGGTCGCAGCCTTGGCATGAAATCTTACACCTCTGGCACGAGCGGCTCAATCAATCATTGACCCAACATTGCATTCGCACGTGGTCGAGAGAATCCCTGAAGAAATATTTGGATTTTGCATATCATGTTGCGAATTTACCTCCGGAGCGATGGGTGCAGAGAGCCTTGCGCTGGACACCGCCTGGGTCGCGCTCGCAGGGTCGTCCTCTCATGTCGTGGGATGAGAGGCTGATGTCTTTTTGCCGAACGAATCACATTGGATCGTGGCAAGAAGGCGCGCAAGACGACGCTGCCTGGGCAGATATGACGGAGGACTTCTTGGATTTCTGCGAGTGAGCACGCCCGCCGCTTCCTGCTTGCACTCTAACTTGTTTTTCCCTCGCGCCCTATATGGGCCCGCCCTCATGCGAGCGGGGTGACTTCACTTGACTTGCTCCGTTGGGCAGCTCTGACTTGGGGTCCCAAGAGGCGGCAGGTGAGTGGAAACTCAAAGGAGGTGGTCGTGGAGGGAAAACACAGGCCATAACGATGGCCTGCCCGTCATGCGGTTGCAAGAAAACAATGTCACAGCCATTCGGTGCAAGCGTTGCCCTGCTACTTTGCCTCGTTCCGAGCCGTCAGCATAGCATTTTGTCAGCGGGCAGTGGGCGCAGTCTGGTCCTCCAGGATACTGGCATGGTGCTGGTCACTCTCCCACAGGTCTCGGCAACGGCGCAGGAGGTAGAGGGCGTGGGCTCGGCAAGAGCAAAGGCAAGGGCTGCTGCGGCGGCGACCCTACGCAGTGGGATCAGCTCGCGGCCCTTACCGAGTCGAGTGGGGTGCGTCCAGGCGGTGACAAGTCGCCGGGGGGTGGTGCACCGCCGCTTCCAGTTGGGCGCGTTCTTCGTGTCCTTGTTGCAGAAGCGCGCCAGTTATCATAGCCGTCCAACAGGTCGGAGGATGTGTTGGCAGCCAAGCATTACGAACGTATGGTTCTACACCTTGAAGCTGAAGCCCTTTCAGCACCCGCACCATCTGCGCAGGCTCAGATGCAGAAGGCTCAAACAGACTTGCAACGCCAGGAGCACAACGTCGAGAATGACTTGCAGCGCCTCGCGCGGGCCAAGGAGCAGGTGCTGGAGTGCGAGAAGGCGCTGCGCGAGTCCAGGGCGCAGTTACGTGCTTCGGATGAGGGCTACAAGACGGCGTTTTCCGAGTTCAAGAGCTACCAGGAGGCAGAGTTCAAGGCTTTTTTCTCGTCCTGCCATCACACTGGGCGACCGCGTCTCGGGCAGGGCGGGCGTGGGCTTCTTCGTCGACTGCGACGCCCCCCTGCTCGAGGACCTGGTCTCGGCCGAAGTGGAACTTGAGGAAGCGGACAAGACTGAGTACCATAAGCGTCGTGATGAGCTGGTGTCAGGCGTTCAGCCCTTGGTTCAGAAGCTTTCCCAGCAGGTCGCGGACTCTGCTCAGGCGGCGCGTGCTGCGCATGAGGCTCACCGTGCTCGAGCTGCTGCCAGGAAGCGCAAGACCACCGACAGTGTCGCAGCTGGAGGTGGGGAGGGTGCTGAACCAGCTGCCGCGGCAGGTATCAGATGATGAACTACCACCGGTACCGCGGCCACCTATGTCCTCGCAGGGTTTTTGTTCGAAGGCGCGCTGCGCGGTAAATTACCCAATCCATGTTTGTTGATCTGTGGGCGGCGCAGCGGGGGCCTCCGCGGCCCGGGCCCGTTCGGGGCCCTTGGTAGCGCAGAGCGGTGATTTCTGGAATTGCGCTCGTTTTGAAATGGTTTTGTTTTGGCACTTGGATCAAAACATGTTGTTGTTGAGTCAACAGTATGGTTTTGGTGGATTCTTTTTTTTCGCGGGAAGTATTGTGTTCTGCGGAAATCCGCGACGTTGGCGTTGTGGATTCAAATTTCCGGCGCCTTTTGAGATGGAGTTTTGTATCCCTTTGGTTATTATTGCGGTCGCTGAGAAGGCGCCCCCTGGGGGGGGGGGGGGGGCGGGGCGGGCCTCGCCGAGTGCGGCCTTCAGGGCGACAGAGATTTCCATGGCGAGGTGGCGCTTGCCAGGAGGTAAGGGCCCCTGGCAGACTGGTTGGTGCGTGCGCGTTAGACGCTAATTTCCCAGAAGTTTCTGTCCCATGGCGATGCCAGTAGAGGCTGCGGCGCTCCGGGTGCAGCAGGTGAAGGCGCTGCAGCAGCAGCGGCAGCTGAGGCAGCCGGCGCCAGTGGCGCGGCTGACTCCACTCGCTCTTAGGCCCCCGCTGTCCAGGAACACATTCGCATTCGGGCCGGCGGAGCGCCGCGTGAGACCATGCCCCCCTTCGCCGCGCAATGGCGGGGGCTGAGCTCGAGTGTCTTCTGGGGTCTCTCCAACTATTTGGCGCACCCTGTCTCGGTGGTTGTTTCCAGGGCCCAGGCTGCCGGGGTCCGACGTTCAGGCCGCCCCTTGTGTTTTTCCAGGGGAATTGCCGTTTTGCGGCCCCATTTTGTCCAGGTGAAATTTGAAAGCCCCCTGGCTCCATGTGTTACAGGTTTCTTTCTCTCCTTTGTCTGTGCGTGGCGCGTCTCAGCAGCGTCTGCTGTCCTCCCTGCGTGCCCTGCCGGCCCCTCTGCGAGCTGGTCTCTCGGTCGCCGCCTATCCGACTCGCAATCTTTCTTCGTCGTCGTTCTCGGTTCAGGCGGGCGGCCCGCGAAGTCATATGCCGCTGCTTGAAGGTCTGGAGGTCGCGGCGGTCAAGTGGAATTTCTGGGGCGCCTTAAAGCGTGCCTGGAGTCGCGCGGCGCTGGCGCGGCTCCGGCGCAAGAGCGCCGCATTCGCGAGGAATTCTTGGGGCCAGGCGTCGGCATCTTCGTTGTTCCTGGGCTGGGGGAGCTTCTGGGCCCCAGGTGTTCTGGGAGAAGGGGGGATCAGCAGTGGGGCCTCTGTGCTCGTTCGCAGTGCCCTCGGTTTGTTCATTTGCGTGCCGCGCGTCTAACTGGGCGGCGGGGCCGTCGCCGCCGTGGCGCGCGCCCATGGGCGCGCGCCGTTCTGCGTCTGCCCCCTCTGCCTCTACCGCGGCCAAGGTCTCTGAATCAAAACTTGCACTCCTCAGAGTTGTTGCCGAGCATCTTGACTGGGTCGGTAGTGATTTCATTGTGGGGGCTGCTTGGAACATTGACCCTGAAGACCTTGGGCGCTCCGTTGGCCCCCCGCAAACCTGTGTCCATGCGCTTTCGCAGCTCTCTTGGAGACCTCAAGGCTCTCGCCTTCCGTCCCCCCTTTGATCTCCCCGTTGAATCGCCTGCGGGGCCTGCCCCGTGCCTCTTGCTCAGGAGGCTTTCGCCGCTGTTGATTTTCGGAGCTCTAGGCGTGCTCGGCCACCCAATACACCGTTTCGTGACCCAATAGGGAGCTCCACAGAAGCCCCCAGTGGGACCGCCCGCGTGCGTCCCCCGCACCCAGCTTGGCATTGTCACCCACCCAGTACAGCGTTTCGTGGCCCAATAGGGTGCCCCACCGATGCCCCGAGTGGAACCGTCCGCGTGCGTCCCCCGCACCCGATTTGGCATTGTCACCCACCCAGTACAGCGTTCCGTGGCCCCATAGTGAGCTCCACCGAAGCCTCCAGGGGGACCGCCCGCATGCGTCCCCCATACCAAATTTAGCACTTTCACCGATCCAATACAGCGCTTCGTGGCCCCATAGGGAGCCCCACCGAAGCCCCCAGTGGGGCCGCCCGCATGCGCCCCCCACATCCAATTTGGCATTTGCACCCGCCCAGTACAGCGCTTCGCGGCCCCATGGGGGGCTCCACCGAAGCCCCCAATGGGACCGTCCGCGTGCGTCCCGCACGCATAATTTGGTAGTTTCGCCCACCCAGTGCAGCGTTTCGTGGCCTCATAGGGAGCTTCACCGACGGCCCCAGTGCTACCGCCCGCATGCGCCCCCCCCCCCGCCCAGCGCAGCGCTTCGTCGCCCCATAGGGAGCTTCACCGAAGAAGATTTTCACAATTGCGGTACCCACAACTTCATATGGTTGGGTCCTTCGCCTGGATAATTTTTGCAGCGAGGCCGCCCATCGGAGTTTGGGGCGCGATTCTGGGGGAAAGTGTGGCGCTGGTTGCCGTCTTTGCTGGGGCGTGGCCAACGGCCTCTTGGGATCTGGGAAAGTTGGGGGGGCGAACCAAGGGCTGGATCCGCGCTTCAGCGACGAGGGCCGGCTGGGCGGCAGGTGGCGTTCTTCTGCAAGTTGTCTCTCGGACCGCTGGGGCCTGCGCGGAAAAGGCGACGGGTGCCATCTTCCAACGCCGTCATGCGTGTCCTTGCGTGCAAGCTGCGCGCGATGCTGTGCCCCCGTCCGGCATGCAGGAAAAAGCTCGTGGGGTAGGCCCCGGCATCCCCGAGATGGTCGTTTTTTATGTTATGTTTTGTGTTTGTTTCTCTCATCCTGGGGATGTTGCTGCCCCTCCTCCTGCCGCGACTACGGGGTCCCTGTGGGGTGGCTGGCAGAGTCGTTGCCGGGTCCGTCAGATGCCTCTGCTCCTCCCCCCATTCCTCCCGGCGATGGGCCCCAGTGGCACTTTCTCTCATGGGCGGCTCCTGCCGTCGGCGCCCTGTCAGAGAGCAGTCCGCAGTGATGGTCTCGTCTTCGGGCAAGCTTCTCGGGGTTGTTCGGGGGCCTCTGTGGGCAGTGAGTTTTGGGCTCTCGCCTGGGCGGGCCTCTGCGCCGAGGGCCCCTCCGACTGCTAGTTTAGTTTACTTGGTGAATTTGGGGAAGCCGATTCGATATCGGCCAAGAGACAGTGCGCTGGCCTAGTGATCCAGGCCCGCCGCCACTTCATGCAGCGCGTCTCTTCCTTCTCTAAAGCTGCAGCCCACTGGGATACCGACGATGAGGGTCTCGGCGCGCGTGTGGGATTTCTGCGCACTGGGAACAGCTGCGCCCGCAGAGGCCTTGAATGCTCATCCAGTCTGGTCTCCGACGGAAGAAGATTTTCAGAGGATGTTAACTATTGCCCGTCATGTGCTCCTGTCTGGAGCTCCTGCCACTGTGACCGTAGTTGGAGTTTCGAGGAACGGAGCGTGCCCCGCTGCCACCACCCTTGGAGCGGAGCTCCTGCCACTTTGGCCATAGTTGGAGTTTCGAGGAACGGAACGTGCCCCGCTGCCACCGCCCTCGGATGTGCTTCCTTCAGAGGTTTGTCGTCACTGGTCCCAGCAGGGCTCCTCCTGGCGATGTCGGGCCTGCCTCCGTGGGTCGCGGGCGATGTCCAGACCTATTCGGGGGGCCCTGTCCTGGCCAGAGCCGCCTCGATCAGGGAATGCTGGAGTCCTTGGGGCCATTGGTTCATTGCTTTTCCCTGCAGTGGCAACAGTACCGTGTTTCCTCGCATGGCGTGCAGGGTCTATGGCAGTGGAGGTCCAGTGGAAGGCCCGGGGAGTACATGCTTCCTTCCGACGCTTGCGGGCGAGAAGGAACCTGCGCCGTGTCCGCAAGGCCCAGCATCTTGACAAGGAGGTTGTCGCAATTGTCACTGATGAATTCTCCCGCTGCTATAAGCGCTGAATTCATTGTCGCAGTCGTTCGCCTGTGACCTCTGCTGCAATGCACTGTTGATCATGGACGTGTGCGTCGCTGTCAACAAGCAGCAACTATGCAGCAAACGCAGTGGGGCGCAGAGCATCGGGGGACGTGGGAGGAACAGATACCTGTACTGCTACCTTTGCCTCGTTTCCCCTTTTCGGGCGTCCCGGGGGGCCCTCGTCTCCACCGCTGGATTCGCTTCGAGATCCTGGTCAGAACGCACCCCAGGAACGGTCCGCGGAGTGGCGGTATCAGCGCCCTTTGGTTTCCTCCCCGCCTCCCCTCCCGACGCGAGGAGCTGCTTCATACGGAAGAGGGATGACGAAAAGGATCGAGGAGCATCGATGATGATCAAAGAGGGGGAGGCTGATACGCAGCTGGCCGAGACCCAGGATGCGCGGTTCGGGGAATCCGACGCCTGTTCTACGGCCAAGAATTGTGTCATATAGCGTGTTGCTTTGCTGGTGTTGGCCAAGCGTTTCCCGGCACTATGCGCTAGCCAATTCCCAGTCCCCGCTCGTCCATGTTCCGAGCCTTTCTCAGCCTCCCGCCCACGGGAGCGGAACGACGCGCTATCGGCTGTCAAGGCATAGCGTGTCGCACGGGTCGCCGTCGCGACAGGCTGAGCAGCGCCTGCTCTTGATTGTTGTCGGAGAATCATGCTGATGATGTTGCTGATCATGATGATGTTGCTTCTGGATGCTGGTCATGATGGCGATGATGCTGATGATGGTGATGATGAAACTGATGCTGATGATGGCGATGACGATGATGATGATGCTGATGTTTATGTTGTTGATGATGGTGATGGTGGTGATGATGATGTTGGTGATGACGATGACTTGATCACGCCGATGATGCGAAACATGACGACAACGAGGACGTCGACGACGATGATGATGATGATGATGCTGATGCTTATGATGATAATGGTGATGAACATTATGATGATGCTGATGATGGGGACGAATAGGATGACG